AGGCACTGAGAGAAGCAAGGAGAACAAGCAGGCGGGTAAGGGCAGTGAGCAGTGAGGCCTCCTCCAGGAAAAAACCCCAGTCGACTGCCTCCTTTCCCCTCCCCTCCCCGGTCTCTCCTCCTCCGGCACAGGCTCCAGCTCCAGGCCGACACAAACGGGGCTTTGATTGCAACAGGAAACCTCTTTGGCGGGGGGAGCCGGGCAAGCCGCCGCCGCCAGGGCCCAGGCTGCACCCCCCTCTCCTGGCCCCCTACCCGGTCCCAGCCCCCATCCTGCCCAGCGCGCCTCACATCCCTGCTTTGGGCCCCACTCTCATTCACACCTCCCTATTCTTCTGCTCTTCTGCTGCCCCCTCCTCCAGAGACCCCCTCCCATTTCCCTTCAGGTGGGACTCCTACCTCAGGACTCACCCTTCTGGCAGGGCCTGCTTTACTTTGAAATGCCCCCTTTTCAGCTTTTCGAGGGAGGGTTTTAGAAAAAAGGGAGAATTTAGCGTGAAGAATTCAGAGCCAGTTATCCTCAAGCCCCATCCAGAAGGTGGCAAGAAGGGAAAGGCGGGGTGCATAAGGAGTTAGCTGTCCCTGCTCTGCCTCTTCCTGGCCAAACTCATCCTTGCCAGGGTGGCAGGGGCTCTGAGGGGTGACCCCGAAAGAATCTGAGTGCTAATGGCCTTATTAGTTGGGGAGGGGTACACTCCTCTTTGCCTCTAGGACTATGCCTTTGTGGGGCTCTAGCTGTGAGGGGGGTGTGCCCTGGTGGTGGGGATCATAGGGAAGAGGGTGAGTCAGGCAGCAGCCCCCCTTCATACTCCCACCAGGATGGCGGAGAACATCTGGTTCCCATGAAATGCTAGAAGGCTAATGGGTCTAATTGCTGCAATAAGGTCTGGAGAAACTTTGGGGAAAAGAGGGGGCACTAGATCCCCCATCCTCTTACCTTCTCCCCAAGGCTGTACTAAGTCTGTCTAGAATGGGGGGGTCAGGGTTGATGGGGAGGGAGGGCCTGACGCCCTAATGCCTGGTCCTAAGGACCCCCTCCATGCAATGCCTGGGATGCACACACAGATGGGGTGATGAGGAGTGGGGTGCATCTGGTGAAGAGAAATGGGGACTATTGAGGACTCATGGCTTCCTGGAGCCCTCCCCCAACTCCTCCTGTGCCCTCCTCCCAACCCCCTCCCTGTGGCCTGGCCACTTCTGGTTCTAATTACCAACCAGGCAGGCCTGACTTAATTGGGACCTTTCAGATTTCTGAGGGGGAAGGGGGGTACTGACAGCTTGAAGTTGACTAATCAAGGCTCTTTCCCTCTTGTTTTCAGGGGTACTCCCTATTTTGCACTTAACTGATTGTTTTTGTTGTTTGTCGCTGGACAGATTCTGATTCAGAAAGTTTTCTTTCTTTCTTTCTTTCTTTCTTTCTTTCTTTCTTTCTTTCTTTCTTTCTTTCTTTCTTTCTTTCTTTCTCTCTCTCTCTCTCTCTCTCTCTCTCTCTCTCTCTCTCTCTCTCTCTCTCTCTCTCTCTGTGTCTCTTTATTTTCTTTGTTTCTTCTTTTTGTGGGGTGGGGGTGACTGGATTCAGAAATGGGTATTTGGGGTTGGGGGAGCAGGAGGGAGCTTACACTGCGTTGGAAAGAGCAGGGCATCCCCTCCCCATTCCTGCTTCAAGCCCACCAGTCACTCTTGCCACCCCGAGGTTCCCCGCCATCCACAAGTCAGGCCTATTCCCAGCCCCGGCAGCCCCTACCCCTTCCCCGCGCCCGCCATCCCTCGCCTACTCTGGCACCCCTTCCTGCCCTTTATTCTTCCAACAGGCGCCCCACTCCTGCAGCACCCCCAGTGCGCCCCCCACCCGGTACAACAGATTCTTAGAAAAGCGCGCCCCGCCCTGGCCCAGCCATAGCCGCCTGGCGGGGGAAGGGCTGGGCCGGGCGCCGCTCCCGCTCCGCGGCGCTGCCCGTGTGAGCGGCGCTGACAGAGCCGGCTGGGCAGGCAGGCCGGGCGACCCGGCGGCTGAAGGCGGGGCGCGGGGGAGGGGGCGGTTTCCGGGAGTCGCCGCCGCTGGCGCTGTCCGGGGCCAGGGTCCCCCATTCGGCCTTGCCGGGCCAGGGCAAACTTCTGACGTGGCCAAACCCCCGCCCACCTCACCCCCTTCTCCGCCGGGCGAGGGCGCTCAGTGCCGGAAGGGGCAACCCAGGGAACAGTGTGGCGGCCCTTGGAGAGCTGAGGGGCACTAGCGTGGGGCCGAAGGGAGGGCGCTTATGCCTAGGCTGGGGGTATTTAAAGACCCTGAGAACAGTCAGTGACCGGAAGCGCCCCTATTGCCGAGGGAGCCCTTGGCATTCAGACACTGGAGGAGGGGAGTTGGCCATCAGGGGCAGATTCATCGAGGCGCAGTTGGCACGGCAGGCACAGCTTAAGGGGTAGTTTTGTGCTCTAAAAGTGAAGTTATGTTCGAGGAAGGAGCATCGAGAGAGACGGTCGAGGCGCTTAGGGAGCGTCAGTTGCGGGATAGGGCTTCGGGGACTCGGAGGGAGGCGGCCCGGGCCGCGGTGGAGGGCGGACTGCTCGGGCTAGGAGGGGTAGACTCTGGCTGCGCTGGAGGGGGCGGGGGACTCCGCGGCCGCGGTGGAGACGGCCTGGGCGGGGTGGGGCGGGGCCGGGTCAGGAGGAGGTGAGCGCGCTCGGCCACCCGCCCCGAGGGGGGTTCCCGGAGAGTTCACGGCGGGAGCGCGCTCCGGCCCTCGGACCGGGGGTGGGGAGACGGGAAGGAAGGAGGAGGCAGCGCGCGCCGAGCCGCAGGAATGCACTGTTCGGCCCTGAAGCGGGCGCGCGGAGGGGGAGGGCGGAGCCAGGCCTGGGAATGAGAGGGGTGGAGGTAGTGCAGGTCCCGAGCCTCAGGAGAGCAGCAGCGCGCGGGGACCTCCACTTTCCCCTCTTCCCAATCATCCTTAACACCCCTGTATTGACTAGCGTGAAAAAGGGAGAGTCTGAGAAGGGGAAAAACTCTGAAAGGAAATGCTTATGCTTGGTTCCTCCACTCCTTTCTCCAACCCCGACCTGGGCACGCGCCTCAGTGCAAATGCGTGCAAAGCCTATAAGCTGTGAAGAGTATGCTTGCAAACATTCTCTCGAGCAAGGTGTCTGCACAAACGTGTGTGCACCCATGATTTTATATGCGTGCTCACATGTATGTGCACTCTTGCATATTTGCAAATTCTTGGTGCCTGATAAGATAAATGCATGCACGGATGTGTGTCTAAGCAAGCGCGCGCGCCGCGGAGCGAGTGTACGTATGTGTCTGTGTGCGCTCCACTCTCAGCTCTGCTCATCTTGGTGCCCGGCCCCCTTCGCTCTCCAAGCCCCACCCCCCACCCCTCCGGGCTTCGCTTTTTAAAAAGGTCTCCCCATTGCTAGCTGCCGAGGCACCCAGATAGAGCTGGACAGAGGCTAAAGCGGCAGCCCCAGCTTCGCGCCCCGCCCAGTCCCTTTCCCCTGCTGGGGATCCCCCTCTTCCCCGCCCACCCCTTACCCCGCATGCAGCCCAGCGCCCTATGCTAGCCCTCCCCCTCCCCCCCTGCTGGAGCGGGGCGCCGCCGGGGGAGGAGGGGGAATCGGCTGCGGGTCCTTGGTGTTTCTAGCACCCAGCTTCCCTCCAAGCCGGGTCGCGATGTACGACTGTATGGAAACGTTTTCCCCGGGTCCGCGACGGCTGTACGGGGCGGCCGGGCCGGGGACCGGCTTGCTGCGCAGAGCCACCAGCGGCTCCTGTTTCGCCGGACTTGAGTCTTTTGCCTGGCCGCAACCCACCAGCCTGCAATGTAGGTACCCGAGTCCGGGGCTGGGGTGTAGGGTGCAGGAGAGGCTGGGATTTGATTTACTCTTTCCGTGTGTAAAGAGTGGAACTGGGGTGCAAGGAGGAGCTTCTGGTCCTTTCTATGTAAGGTACTGGCCCTTTAAACGTGGGGGCCTCAGCGTCTCCTTTGCGTGTGTGCAGTAGTGTTTGGAGTGTGTGTGGTTTTTATGGTGGGTGTTTAGCTCGAACCTGTGGTTGATGCCACTCCAGAGTTCCTGGGGATAGGGGGAGACCGAGGTGTGTGGGTAGTTTGCGCCTTCAGGTCCGTGGCCCTGGAAGGATATGACACTCAGGACAGTGGGTGGCGTTTGTAAAGCCCATGTGGGAAGCTGGCAGTGTTAAAAATATTGTTTGCAGAGCGTGTGAATCCCTGGAGTGTGCAGCGCCTTGCCTAGGTGGTGTGGGTGTGGGAGCAAGGGTCTTTCCACCAGTGTCGCCTGCGACAGCTGCCAGGTCCACATGGCCTGTGAGGGGATGTTTGTGGCGTGAGGCCGGGAGGGCGTGTGCCCCTGCGTGGCTGCGGGGGCGGTTTTGGAAAGTGCTGTGTTCGAGAGTGCATCCTGTGTGTTCTCATGCCGGGTGGAAAAGGTTGTGCACACAAGAGGGAGAAGGCTGAGTTCTGTACACCACCCTCCATATAAAAAAAGAAATGTTTGGAAACGTGTATGCGGTTATATGCAGAGAGATGATTTTTTCCTATGGCTCCAACACACACAACTTCAGCAGGAAGCGAAAAGTTTAAAGCAAAGTCTGTGTGTGTGGTGGGGGGCGGCCTGAAGTTGACAGCGGCAGGGCGAGTACCATTGCTGGGTCCCCAAATATCTATCTTCCCCCTCCGTGAAATGGGAGATGCCAGGCCGGGGGCCCTGGAACCCCTTTCCAGAGCAGTAATAAAAAGCTGGGGACTGAGAAGCAGTAAAAATGAAGTCCAGATGAGAGGCGGCTTTGAAGCTTGGGCCACAGTGCCTGGAGGGGGTGGGGTGTGGGGAGGGGCCAGGAGCAGAGCCTGGAACACCCCCCAAATTTACCCTGGGCTGGGATATGCTCGCAGCCCGGGTGCGGACGGCCGGGGACGAGGGGTTTGGGGGCACGCTGGGAAGGGTGGGAAGGGGCGGGCAGCGGGCGGGGCGGCGAGCGCTGGGGGAGTGCGCACGCCAGGTCACCAAGCCCCCGCCAACGCGCCTCGCTCCTTGGCACCAGGCAGCGCTGTTTACAAGTTCGGAATTTTTTTTTTTTTTTTGGTTCCAGAGCAGAGCTGCTCAAATTTAACAACTGGGAAGCTGGAAGAGGGAGATGGCAAACAAGGAGACCGGACTTTATTTTACTTTACTTTTGGGTGGGGTGGGGGAGGAATTAAAAGCGTGTCATTTAAAGAACCGAGAAAACATGGAACTATTGCTTTGCAGCAAATCCCTGTGAATTCTTAACTTTTTTCTCATTGCTCAATAGAATGGGGAGTTGGGGTATGTTGTATGTTGTAGGGGTGCTGAGATGGAAAGAATCTTCCAGGTAGGGCTTCTGGGGGCTGGGCGGAGACCCTGTCTTTTCTCAGGCCTATGGAAGAAGCCCTTTGGGCTTGACTGGCAGTAGGTTTTTGCGTTTTAATTTGGACCAATAATTTTGGCCTCTGGGATCCTGGTGGACACACAAAGCCAGCTTCAGGCCTGCCCCCACACACTTTCAGAGGGAAGGCTGCTTGGGAGGTGGGGGTGGGCTGAATGTGTGTGTGTGTGTGTGCCTGTTTGGAGGCTTTGGTGTCCTGGTGCTGCGTGCACAGGCTGGGGTGTTTGTCTGGCGGTAGAGCTGTTCCCTTGTGTGGCCAAGTGCTGGGTGTTGTGTGTCAGCCTTGTGACTGGTACATCTACCTCCACGGTGTGGCTGGAGTGAGTGTGTCTCTATTCTGACTTTGCGTCTGTGCCAGAATCTAGTGAGGGTTCTAGAAGCCCATTGTAATATGCCTGCTTTGGTGCCCTGCGTGTTGTTAACCTGTGAGTATGTGTGTCTCCAAGGAGGTGTGTGCTAGATTGTGAGTCCGGGCTGCTCAGCTCTGGGCCTCGCAGCTGGGAGCGTTTACAGCCGGTTATAAAGAGTTTGTTTGAAGCTCCGCACAGCCTGGTCAGGAATTTCCTCAATTTCAGCAATTTGGGCTTTAAAAGGAGAAAACCCCAGAGCCCACCCCCATCCTCCCCAGCAGGGGCCCCTGCCTAACCCAGGAGCAGCATCCCTACGGTGGGGTCCAAGCCCCAGGCTGGGGAGGGGATCTGATTGGAGTAGACCCAGTTAGCTTTCTGGGGCCTTGACCTCGCAGATTGACCTCGGAGCCACTAGGCTGCACTTTAGGGTTCAGGGGGTGGGGATGTGACAGTATCACTTAGACGGAAAAAGTTGCCCCCGGGCCTGTCTCCCTAAGGCCCCCAGTCTTATAATTGGCTGGCATTGCCCCATGCCAGTCTGACCGCACCCAGGCCCTTGCGCAAGAGAGGAAATGAGGCAGCGCTCTGCGGGCAGGGAGGGCGTCAGCGCCAGAGTGAGCACCACCCCACGCACAGGCCTTGGGCAGAACATGTGCCCTCGAAGGACACAGTGGTGGGTCTGAGGAGTGAGAGGTTGGGAAAGGCATTCCAGCCCTCCCCACATCTCTCAGCACTAGCCCCTCCTGGAGCCCCCGTCCCTAGTCTTGAATAGACTTCAGGCACCCTTTTTTCCCCCTCTCCTCTCTCTTTTTCCTTTGGGGAATCTCACTCTGGCAGGATTCTTATGCTAATTGAATGTATGTGTGTTGGGGGTGGGGAGGGCTTCCCTCCTGTGGGGTGGGTGGAGCTAGCCTGGAACCCTGGCATCCTGGGCATTCCTTCCGCCCTTCTGGCTGCATTGGGGTGGACTTCTGACTAGGTGGGCTGCAGAGGGTTAGAGGGGAGAAGGTGTTCATGAGGTGGGTGCATGGGACACACCTTAGGGAGGGTCTTAGGAATTTTTTTGCATTAACTTGGGTCCTCCAGGTTTGGGCAACAGGTCGTACAGGTGAATAATTTACAAATTTTTGGAACCTCTGAAGACCAACCACACACGCGCCCACACACACACACTTAACCGGCAGCCTTTGAACAGAGCAGAGCATGTCCTCCCCATACTGTGGGGCTAAGAGCCCTTTTGAGCTGCAATTGGGTATTTTCAGAGTGAAGACAGAAGCTCAGAGAGGGTCCAGAAACAGGTCCCCTCCCCCATCAGTCCCGTTTACCTACTGTCACCTGACTTCTCCAGTTTGCTACACCTCCAATGGCTTCCAGACCTGAGAAACTGAGCAAACACCTCAGTCTCCGCTTCCCCAGCTTCTCTGACTCAACAGCCACTTGGATCCGCTGGTGGTGTGGCACTGAGCTGGTCACTTCCCCTCTTGTGGCCTCAGTTTCTTCAAGCGTGAACCAAGGCTGTGGTGCGTCTTCCCCTGAGACCTGTGCCCCGTTTGCTCCGCTGTCAGTTATTCAGGGGTGGTGTGAGAGAGAAGCCTGAGGAGTTATCCCCCCTGAACTACTGGAGAGGAAATGAGGTCCTGGTCTACCTGCTAAGCATCCCAGCAGGTCATTTGGCCAGTGCCAGCTACAGGAAGCCTGTCATTGCCTACCTGCCCCCAGAGTTATTGCCCCACAGGGAGGACAGTGGGAGGTAGACTACCCGACAAAGATCTACCAAAGAGACAGAGAGTGACTAGAGAGCTCAGAGCTGCAGGGCTTTAACCCTTCTATCTACCTCCTGTAGTTAGGGAAACAGACCCAGAGAAGTCAATTTCCAGAATGGCCTTGGTCTGGAATTTGGAGGATTAAACATGTCATACAGGGTGAGGGCTGGCATTCTTGTGAACAAGTTGGTTAGACTGTGGAGGGCGGACTAGGGGTCACAGCAAGCTGTGGTAACAGTGGTCGTTTAGAGGATTCTGACAGTGCTTACTGCTGGGACTAGTGCACTGTGGTAGTGATGGCTTTCACCCATGGGCCAAGGAACAAATGCACATGGGGTGTGTGTGATGAGGAAGCCTGGATATCTGTGGGGTCCTTCTCCCCTGACCCTCACATCACTGCTTCCCTCCCAGCGGTGGAGACACAGAGCACCAGCTCAGAGGAGATGGTGCCCAGCTCGCCCTCGCCCCCTCCGCCTCCTCGGGTCTACAAGCCATGCTTCGTGTGCAATGACAAGTCCTCTGGCTACCACTATGGGGTCAGCTCTTGTGAAGGCTGCAAGGTGTGTACGTGGTGGGGGTGGGCAGACGGGGGATCCAGTTACCCGAATAAGATGAGAGACCAGGCACACAGATGCTATGTGTGAGCAGCACTGCTTTGCACATAGGTGGTTAATAGATTAGGTCAGGCCTGGGGCAACCTGCAAGGCCAGTGAGAGGATGGTACTCCCAGCATTGTGCTTCAGAGACCCTGTCTTTTTCCCTCAACTCCAGGGCTTCTTTCGCCGAAGCATCCAGAAGAACATGGTGTACACGTGTCATCGCGACAAAAACTGTATCATCAACAAGGTGACCAGGAATCGCTGCCAGTACTGCCGGCTACAGAAGTGCTTCGAAGTGGGCATGTCCAAGGAAGGTAGGCCCCCATCCTTGGCCTGGGCAGGAGCACTCCGTTCCTACCCTATGGCTGTGGCCCTCTTTCCTCTGGCCACTCCCACTTCCCTGACCTCTGAGACTTGCCTTGCCCTGGGGTGCTGCCTTCTCCCAGGCCAGTCTTGTTTAGTTAGCTCCATTCACCCAGGAGGCCCCACTGTTTCCCATTCTCCTTCTCAGGGAGCTTGACCCTTCCTCTGAATGGGTGAATAAGTAGGGTCTCACATTCCCCCTGTTTCATGGGGGAAATGAAGCTGGTGGGCTTGCCAGTCCCTTCCCCTCCCCTGGACTGAGCCAGAGATGGATATGGGGTGGCTCCTCCTCTCCACCCCCCCCACCATTGTGCTGCCAAGGCTATAAGTGGATATCCTGCCGCCTGCATATCCTGCCCCCCCTCCCCCAGCTCCTGCAGGGTGACAGGAAGGGCAGGATGGAGCCGAATGGCCTGGGGAGGGAGCAGGGGCCGCAGGCCCTGGGTGGGGCTGGGGAGAACCAGCCTGGGAATTGGAGCTAATATAGGCAATAGGGAAACTGAGGCACTAATTACAGTGCCAGAGAATAGATATTCATGATAAGGACTGAGCACATTAAATTAGGGTGAGAGAAGACACCCAAAGGGAGGCTCTGAGGGTCCTGACTCTCTCCTTGTGCCTCCACCCACAAGCTGTGCGAAATGACCGGAACAAGAAGAAGAAAGAGGTGAAGGAAGAAGGGTCACCTGACAGCTATGAGCTGAGCCCCCAATTAGAAGAGCTCATCACCAAGGTCAGCAAAGCCCATCAGGAGACCTTCCCCTCGCTCTGCCAGCTGGGCAAGTATACCACGGTAAGGAATGGGCAGAGCCCAGTGAGGGCAGGGCACTCTTCACTTCGGGGAATGGGGCTGGGTTATGTTGGAGGTTATCATCGACTGGTGCTGAGGACAAGGAGGGCATCAGAATGCAGAGGAGAGAGCTTGGGATATTGGTAGGGAGAAGACAGTCTCCAGAGGTGGACCTTAGCTTGCCTTCCAACCTCCTACCCCTCCCCTCTATAGAACTCCAGTGCAGACCACCGCGTGCAGCTAGATCTGGGGCTGTGGGACAAGTTCAGTGAGCTGGCCACCAAGTGCATCATCAAGATCGTGGAGTTTGCCAAGCGGTTGCCTGGCTTTACAGGGCTCAGCATTGCTGATCAGATAACTCTGCTCAAGGCTGCTTGCCTAGATATCCTGGTAAGTTAGGCCCTGTGGGTCCTGCCACAGCCCGACCCTCATATGGGACCCTCAACAATTCCTTGATCCATGCAAAGATTTCCTTACCTTGCACTCCCTGCCACACATGGAGGACTTCTCTGCTCTCTTTTTGTCTTAGCCCCTCCCTCTATGACCTGATCCTAGACTTTTGGATGCCCCGTCTCCTCCTGACTTCCCAGGACTACCCCTGCCAAGCCTCAGATCCTCCACTTCTGCCTTCTCCATGCCTGCTTCAGGTTGCATTCACTGGGGACCTAACCTCCTCACTTTCCACTCATTCCCTCTTTTCCCCATCCCTCAGAAACAGCACTAACTCTCCTCCACCTCCCACCTTCAGATGCTGCGGATCTGCACAAGGTACACCCCAGAGCAGGACACTATGACCTTCTCCGACGGGCTGACCCTGAACCGGACCCAGATGCACAATGCCGGCTTCGGGCCCCTCACAGACCTTGTCTTTGCCTTTGCTGGGCAGCTCCTGCCCCTGGAGATGGATGACACCGAGACAGGGCTGCTCAGCGCCATCTGCCTCATCTGCGGAGGTGCGGGGGCGCCCCCTGGCGTCTGCTCAGTGCTCAGTCTCCTTTTCCACCACTCCATGCGGGATCTCTGACTGGGAGGGGGCGTGGAGGACCCAGCGGTCTCTTCCCCTGGTAATTCTTGCACCAGGCCCCATCCACAGAGTTCTCAAACCCTGTACAGGCTTCCCAAAAGGCCAGTTGGGGATCAGCCATCTGTCACTGTATCTTCCCCATCTCTTCCTTCCCCTCTCACTCCACTATACTTGTCCCCATAGACCGCATGGACCTGGAGGAGCCCGAAAAAGTGGACAAGCTGCAGGAGCCACTGCTGGAAGCCCTGAGGCTATATGCCCGGCGCCGGCGGCCCAGCCAGCCCTACATGTTCCCAAGGATGCTCATGAAAATTACCGACCTCCGGGGCATCAGCACTAAGGGTGAGTCATGAGTGGGTGTCCCCTCTCTGTCTTCCCAGGGCTGTTGGTCTCCCAGGTCAGATAGGTGGACACGCAGAGACTAGAACAGAGTAGTCGAGATCCAGGCAATCTACACTGGAATCCTAGCTCTGCCACATAGTAGTGGGACACTTTGGGCAAATTGCTTCTAAACCAGTACTGTCCAATAGAACTTTCTGCAATGATGGGGATACAATAGTCATTAGCCACATGTGGCTTTTAAGCATCTGAAATGTGACTACTGCAACTGCAGAACTGAATTTTTAATTCAGCACAATTCCAAGTACATATACATACATATATCTATATATCTAGACACACAAAGTCTTCAGCAAATTGCTTTACTTTTTTTATCTTGTTTGTAAACTGGGCTATTCTTCACGCACCTTGTAAGGCTGTCTTGAGGACTAAATTAGTTAATATACAATGTAAAGCTAGGCACCATGGTGCGCTTCTGTAGTTCCAGCTACTCAGGAGGCTGAGGCAGAAAGATCAGTTGAGGCCAGAAGTTGGAGGCTTCTGTGAGCTGTGATTGCACCTGTGAATAGCCACTGCAGTCCAGCCTGGGTAACCCAGCAAGACTCTGCCTCTAAAACAACAACAACAACAACAAAACAACAAAAAAACCCCATAACACATACAGTGTACTTAGAATTGTGCTGAATTAAAAATTCCATTCTGCAGTTGCAGTAGTCACATTTCAGATTGCCACATGTGGCCAGTGACTACTGTATTCCCATCATTGCAAAGTTCTATTGGACAGTCCAGGCTTAGAAGGATGTCTGGAACATTGTGTTTGATAAATATTAGCTGTTGTAATAAATGTTATTAAGAGACCAGGACTAGGAACAACTGGCAAGCTCTGGACATTCGAGAGTGGGGTACTTGGGGAGTGGGGTTGGAAGTTGTGTGCATTGTGCTCTCTGAAGAGACAGCCTGAAAGAATGGGATGAATAGGCAGCAGGCCTGGTAGAGAAGGCCAGGTAGAGGTTCCAGGCAGAGGAGTGGCACCCAGGAAGCCTAGTGAGAAGAGGATGAGCTGGGGACAGAGAGGTGGTGGGCCTGTGCTGGGCGCCCCCTAGGGGAGTCAAAGGCAGTTGAGAAAGGTTAGGGAGATGGCCTGAAGGGCCATGTGCCTCTGTCCTCCTGAGCCTCTCACTTTGCCTCTCCATTGTAGGAGCTGAAAGGGCTATTACCCTGAAGATGGAGATTCCAGGCCCGATGCCTCCCCTAATCCGAGAGATGCTGGAGAACCCTGAAATGTTTGAGGATGACTCCTCGCAGCCTGGTCCCCATCCCAATGCCTCTAGCGAGGATGAGGTTCCCGGGGGCCAGGGCAAAGGGGGCCTGAAGTCCCCAGCCTGACCAGGGCCCCTGACCTCTCCGCTGTGGGGGTTGGGGCTCCAGGCAGCAGACTGACCATCTCCCAGACTGCCAGTGACTGGGGGAGGACCTGCTCTGCCCTCTCCCCACCCCTTCCAATGAGCTCCTTGTTTTTGCCAAAGTTTCCAGGGGTGCCTCTGTGTTCATCCCCTTCCCGATCTAACCGGCTCCCTCGCCAGTCCTGGGGGCCTGCCCTGCTCCCACCAGGAGAGAGGGCAGAGGGATGAGCCTGAGTTTGGACTCTAAAATCTCAGCACTGCCCCTCAGGTGCCAGGGTCCTAGGCTCCCCAGGGCAAGAGGAAGACCCTGCCATTCCACAGCCCCTTCCTCTGCCAGGTGCTTGGCTCTCTGGGAGCAAATAGGAACACTAGAGACCAAAAAGGGGGCAAAGGAGAAGGGCTGAGCCCACCTTTTTGCCCCTACCCTTGGTGCCTAATGCTGTGTGATGCACCTGCAGGGTGTGTGCTAGCCTCTGTGCCCCGTCCTTGTGCCAGGTCAAGGTGGGGGCAGGCTGGGCCCTGCATTTCTGGGGCAGGAACAGAGGGTGAAAGGGACAGATAGATGCAGGTCCATTCTGCACCTCTTGGCTCGGGTGCAGAGTTCACCCTGTGCCCTCCGTTACAAGTCCCTCCCCCAGCCCTGTCATGTGCCTTGGGCTCCTCCTGCCCTCCATCTCAGCCATCGGGGCAGGGACCCTCCTACACTACAGAGGGGCCAGGGGATCCCTCTCTCCCTAGTGCCTTCCACCCTTTACCCCCCAGAGCAGCTTGGCCCAGGGAGGGGGGATGCTGCTTAGCTGATCCTGCCCTGACCCAGAGGAAGCCTCTATTTATTTATTAGCTTTTGTTTACACCCTGGAATTGACCCCTTCCTCCAGGGGTCTTGGGTGGGGGAGCCCAGGGCCCCTGTGACCCCTCCCTTCTTCCTCCAATCCCCAGTTTGTATTTAGCTGCCAAATAAGATTCCCATTGGCTCCCTGTGTTCTCTTGGGGGGTCAGGGTACTGTCCCCTCCCCTCTGTTTACATCTCCCCTCTACCCCGCTGTATTGCATATTGCTGAGTTTTCTATTTTTGCAAAATAAAGTGATGGAAACTCATGGGATGTGGCTCCCTTTAGGAGGTGGTAGGGAAATGACCAGCTGACCTGGTGAGGAAGCTGAGTGAGTAGGGAAAGCTTGTAATTGATTGGACTTTGCAGCTTTCTTGGTAGAAGAAAACAGGATGAAATGTGCCTGGATTGCGGTGGGGACAGGATGGGGGAAAGGGAGCCATGGGGACTCACCCTGAGTGACCGGGTTTCCCACAACCACCAGGTATGGGTTCAGAATCTCACTCTGTCGCCCATGCTGGAGTGCAGTGGCGCGATCTCGGCTCACTGCAACCTCCACTTCCCAGGTTCAAGCAATTCTCTTGCCTCAGCCTCCCGAGTAGCTGGAATTACAGGGGTGCACCACCACACCCAGCTAATTTGTTTAATTTTTAGTAGAGACAGAGTTTCACCATGTTGGCCAGGCTGGTCTCAAACTCCTGACCTCAGGTGATCCGCCTGCCTTGGCCTCCCAAAGTACTGGGATTACAGGCGTGAACCACTGCATCTGGCCTGGTGTGGGTTCTTATGTTGGATCCTGTGGGTCTCTGGGAGGGCATGAATGGACTTCACGGGTCTGTAAGCCTGTCCCCACCTCCAATTATGCGTATGTGCATATCTGCTCTTCTTTGGGGAAGGAGTCCATTGAAGTTTCATTTATCTTTTTATTTATTTACTTTCTTTTCTTGAGACAGAATTTCACTCTTGTTGCCCAGTCTGGAGTGCAGTGGCGTGATCTTGGCTCACTGCAACCTCTGCCTCCCAGGTTCAAGCGATTTTCCTGCCTCAGCCTCCCGCGTAGCTGGGATTACAGGAGTGCACCACCATGCCCAGATAATTTTTGTATTTTTAGTAGAGACAGGGTTTCACCATATTGGCTAGGCTGGTCTCGAACTCCTGACCTCAAGTGATCCACCCACCTCAGCCTCCCAAAGTGTTGGGATTACAGGCGTGGGCCACCGTGCCTGGCCTGAAGTTTCATTTAGTTCTTATGAGGGTTCCTGGCCCCAGAAGAGAAGAACCACAACCTGCATCTAAGCTACAGTGTTTCTGTTTTACACCAGCCCCTCACCCAGGGAGCCCTCTGGCCTTCTGTCCCCACCCACCCTGCTATCACCTTATAGCTTACTCCCCCCACCCTCTCTGTTCCCACTCTTCACCCCATGACCTCCACTCACCGCCCCCTGCACTGTTACCTTCTCCGAATATCTGTCCTTGCTCCCACACACCTCTCTGCAGCACGCCTTTGCAGTGTTTTTGGCCTCTACTGTTGTACCCTGTACTCTTCCCTTCGCCCTCTGTGACTCCCCTCAAGCCCTGCCTCCGTGTTCTACCTTCCCTGGGACAGTGCCTTGCCTACCTTGTTCCTGGCTCTCTTCACTGGTGACCTGTGGATATGACAAAAAAGTTGAGGATGTGGGAATAGGGGAGAGAAGAGTGGAGGGCGGAAAGCAGAAGAAGAAAGTGAAAGAAGCTCTAGAGGAAACCACAGGGCCTGTGGGGAAGGAGGGTCATTGCCGTGGTAAACCCTGGTTGTGGGGGAAGGGTATGGGTTCTGGCTATTCCATAGCCTGAGGCCGGCCAAGCCCACTCAGAGAAAGAGCCCCTCGTCTCCAATTGTCCCCTCCTAGCAGCTACACCTCTGCAATCCATCTGACATTTATTGAGCACCTACTGTAAGATGGGCACTTGGCTAGGTGCGGTGGCGCCAGCAGGGAAGCCTGGTAGAGCCAGTCCCTGCCCACAAGGAGTGCTCCTTCTGGTAGGGGAGATCAACCTGTGAACACAGATCTCATGTCTAGTTCCCTCTCAAAGCTCTTAGTGATCTGTATGGGCCAGGAGCAAATCCCATTAATATTTTCCTACTCTCCCTACAGGCTTCATCCTTGCCTTGACTTCAGCTATTGTTCCTGCACTCTGCTTCTCCCAGTTCACATCCTCCACCCCTTTCCCAGGCTCCACTACTGTCTTGGCTCCTGGCTCCCCAATCACATGCTCTGAGCCTGGCCCGGTGCCTCTCTCTTCCAAGTTTCCAGCTGTCTGGACCTTGAATTTCTCAAAGCCTCTTCACTTCTCACCTCTGTCACTTCTCATCCCTACTAATTCTCTTATCAAGCCCTTACTTAGTATGTGCCAGGTAGTCTTCTAGGCAATTGATATGAATTATCTCTTTTAATTCTCCCGACAATCCTGTGAGTCCTGCTTGACAGATGAGAAAACAGCTGCAGGTGGGGTTAAGTAATTCAGCTAAGATCCTTACTACAAGTAAGTAGTAGAGCCAGGATTTGAACTGTAGCAACTTGGCTCCAGAGCCTATGTAGTCAAGCACACTAATCCAATGTATCCTGGGTTTTCAAAATGAATGAGTCTCTAACTTCCCGCCTCTCTACAGTACTTATCGCCTCTATTCCCTCCTATCACGTTCCTTCCTATATAAGTTAATAGAGAGATCATGAATTTTGGAGGCAGGCAGACCTGGATTTAAATCCCAGACCAGTCGGGTGTGCCTGTAATCCCAGCTATGCAGGAGGCCAAAGTGGGAGGATTGCTTGAATCCAGGAGTTACAGACCAGCCTGGGCAACACAGCAAGACTCTGTCTCAAAAATAAAAACATAGGCTGGACACGGTGGCCCACACCTTTAATCCCAGCACTTTGGGAGGCCGAGGTGGGCACATCAATTGAGGTCAGGAGTTTGAGACCAGCCTGGCCAACACGGTGAAACTCCGTTTCTACTAAGAATATAGAATGTTGCCGGGCATGGTGGTGCACCCCTGTAATCCCAGCTACTCAGGAGGCTGAGGCAGGAGAATCGCTTGAACCTGGGAGGCGGGGTTTGGAGTGAGCTGAGATCATGCCATGGGACTCCAGCTTGGGAAACAGAGCAAGACCCTGTCTCAAAAATTAAATTAAATTAAATTAAAATTCAAAAAGTAACAAAAATTTAAAATAAAAATCTTTTTTCTTCTTCTTTTTTTTTTTTTTTAAATCCTAGACTAGCTACTTACTAGCTGTGGGACCTTGGGCAAAATTCTATATTTCCTGCTTCTAAGCCTCAATCTCCGCATCTGTAAAATTGGGACTTAGGGGAATATTAACCCCTATCTCATGAGGTTGTTGTGAGGGTTAATTATAGTATGTTACGTTCAACACACGACAGGAGTTCACTAAATGAGCTTCTTTCTTCCAGATCTCTGTATCATCCACTCCCTTGGCTCAGCCCCACCCCAATCTGCTCCACCTTCTAGATCAGTCACCCCCACCAACCCCAAATCTTCCCCACCCCAGGGAGTGTCACTTCCTCCTCTGCAGTCTCCCAGACCAGTACACAAAGGCTGCTGCCGCCGCCAGAGGAAGGGCTGCTCTGCACGCACCTGTGAGTACCAGGGCACCAGCCCTTCTGCCTCCTCTCCTTACAAGCCCAGGCCCACCTGGTCCCAACCTCTTGGGAAGAGGGCTCAGACCTGGATATCGAGGGTCCTGTCCAGACTTGAGAAAGGCTCTGAACTCCTTTCTGCATTCCTAAGATCCCCTGACCTGCTTCCCTCCTCCAGTTTCACAGCCCCCCCACCCCCACTTCTCCCAAAGCCCATCTCTCTTGCATCAGTTTCCCCAGAGTGGGTCTGGAGGCAGGGATGTGTACGAGTGCTGTCATTCGAGTGCCTGCCATATGCTAAGGATTATACTGAGGTAGGGTAGGTATACCGATTATACTGAGGGAAGGTTCTCCCAACACCACCCCAGCTGCCATCCCTAATGCTCTGCCTTCAGCTCAAACTCCTTCCTAATCGGCACCTTGGCCACAGACTTCACTCTCCTGGGACACTGAGGCCCAGCAGCTCAGTTCCGTTCCCTGGTTGTGACTCCCAGTGGGCAGCAGAGGGTTCTGCTCGACTTGGGAGGTATGGATGGGTTGGGAAGAGGCTCTGTTTCTCAGCTGCTGAGGGGGCCACATGGTGTGTATTGGAGTCAGAATGGAGTCCAGAAAAATGGAAATAACCACTTGGTCCCAGGAAGAGAAGGGAAGACTGCAGAGTACCCCTAAGGAAAGAGAAATGGGATTAGGCAGAGCCCATCAGGGCTAGCGGAGACAGAACACAGCTTTTGATGGAGATGGTACCCGGGTTGGAGGGAGGAAAGGAGGAAGCACAGCAGAGGTCTGGCCCTGCCCTGTCCTGCCCTGCCCCTAGTTCACTGGGTGACCCTGGCCTTGTGGGGAAAAGAAAGAGAGATCAGACTGTTACTGTGTCTGTATAGAAAGAAGTAGACATAAGAGACTCCATTTTGTTCTGCATTTGAGATGCTGTTAATCTGTGACCCTACCCCCAACCTAGTCCTTGCAAGAGACATGTGCTGTGGTGACTCAAGGTTTAACGGATTTTGGGCTGTGCAGGGTGTGCTTTGTTAAACAAGTGCCTGAAGGCAGGATGCATGTGAAAAGTCATCACCATTCTCTTAATCTCAAGTACCCAGGGATACGTACACTGCCAAAGGTCGCAGGGACCTCTGCCTAGGAAAGCTAGGTATTGTCCAAGATTTCTCCCCATGTGATAGTCTGAAATATGGCCTCGTGGGAAGGGAAAGACCTGATTATCCCCCAGCCTGACACCCGTGAAGGGTCTGTGCTGAGGAGGACTAGTATAAGAGGAAAGAAGGCCTCTTGACAGTTGAGATAGAGAAAAGCATCTGTCTCCTGCCCATCCCTGGGCAATGGAACATCTCGGTGTAAAACTCGATTATATATTCTATTTACTAAGATGGGAGAAAACCGCCTTAGGGCGAAAGGTGGGCCTTGCTAGAGCAATGCTGCTCTTTATGCACTAAAAAGGTTTATGGAGATGTTTGCATATGCATATCAAGGCACGGCACTTTTCTTTACACTTATGTCACAGAGATCTTTATTCATATGTCTTACTGCTGACCTTCTCCCTACGATGATCCTATTATCCTGCCACTTCCCTTTTTCTAAGATGGTAAAGATAATGATCAATAAATACTGAGGGAACTCAGAGACCTGTGCCGGCGCGGGTCCCCTGTATGCTGAGCACCAGTCCCCTGGGCCCACTTTTTCTTTCTCTATACTTTGTCTCTGTGTCTCATTTCTTTTCTCAAGTCTCTTGTTCCACCTAACGAGAAACGCCCACAGGTGTGGAGGGGCAGGCGACCCCTTCATGGCCTCATGGGATTTAGGTTTCCATTTGTAAAAAGAGTGGGATGGAGTGAAGATTCAGCCATTCTATAGTTAGGAACAGAGGGGAAAAGGAAGTAAAACAGCCCTATGAAGAAGTGGAGCAGAGAAAAGCAGCAGAGAGATGCAATAGAAGTTTTGAAATGAAAGGAGCCAGAGAGAGACAGAGAAGCAGAGAAACAGGTGGCAGAACATGTATTCCCAAGGAGGGGAGAAGAGAGGATAATTGGGAAGAAAGGTAGAAAACGGCTGTCCAGGGAGTCCCAGGGCCCCCTTTAAGGGGAGATGAGTGGGCTTGAGATCTCTGAAAAACCTATGTGGCAGCTGGGGCTCCACTTGAGAGAAATGAGTCAAAACCGGGCTTTGGGTTGCAGCATCTCCAGCCTCCCTGACCACAGGCACGCAGAGCAAGCAGGGCTGAGGTTACACTGAGGCTGAAATGGGGCCGGCCTCTCCCCGAGGGGTGGAGCCTCCGTTATATATGGCACCTGAGGTCACAGGTGGTGGGGAGCAGCACCAGGATGTTCAAGAACTCAGCACCCCACCCCTTTCCCACACTCTGTGCAGAGTATCTGGAACTGACTCTGGCCCAGGCTGAAGAAGATGCAAATGGTTTATGACGAGGAGTTAGTTGGCCTTTCTCATACACTGCTGATGGGAATGTGGACCAGTACAAGCACCGAGGAGTTTATGTTGGCAATACGCACCAACATATATATACTTTTCTTAGCATGAGAATGTAGATGAAATACACACCAACATTGAAAATGATATCTATCTATTTATCCTGCACGTCCTCTGCTAGGGATTTATCCTACAGGTTCAGTTGCATACATGTGAAATGGTAAATACATGACATTTGGCTGGGGGAGGTGGCTCACGCCTTTAATCATGGCAATTTGGGAGGCCGAGGCGGGTGGGTCACTTGAGCTCAGGAGTTCTAGACCAGCCTGGGCAACATGGGGAAGCCCCATCTCTGCAAAATAATACAAAAATAATTAGCCAGGCATGGTAGCATGCGCCTGTAGTACCAGTTACTCGGGAGACTGAGGTGGAAGGATCAGTTGAGCCGGCGAGGCCAAGGCAGCAGTGAGCCATGATTGCACCATTACACTACAGCCTGTGTGACAGAGCAAGACCCTATCTCTCAAATGAATGAATGAATAAATAAATAAATACATACATTACTTTTCATTTCAGCGTTATTTGTCATAGCGAACTAGAAATAATTTAAGGTCAGGCACAGTGGCTCATGCCTGTAATCCTAGCACTATGGGAAGCCGAGGCAGGAGGATCACTTGAGCCTAGGAGTTTGAGCCTAGGAGTTTGAGACCGGCTTGGGCAACATAGCAACACCCTGTCTCTACAAAAAAATAAAAAATAGCTGTACGTGACGATGTACACCTGTGATCCCAGCTACGACGGAGGCTGAGGTGGGGAGAACCGCTTGAGCCCAGGAGGTGGAGGCTGCAGTGAGCCATCACGGCACCACTGCACTCCAGCCTGGGCAACAAAGTGAGACCCTGTCTCAAAAGAAAAAAGAAGAAACAATTTAAATGCACATCCTTAGGGTACTGATTAACTGTGATATGAGGTATCCATGCGATGGAAAGCTTTATGGCTGTAAAAGTGAACAAGGACGTTCTTAATTTTCTCATGTAGAAAGATCTTCAAGAAAAGTAGTTACAGGAAAAAAAAGTGAAAAATTGTGTTTTCTACCATTTAAAGAATTGTGCCATTTGAGTGTACCATTTAAAAAGCATATGCATGTTAATTTGTATATGCATAAAACAATCTCTAGAAAGATTATAAGAAACAAAGATAGGTTGACTCATGCCTGTAATCCCAGCACTTTGGGAGGCTGAGGTGGGCGGATCACTTGAGGTCAGGAGTTCGAGACTAACCTGGCCAATATGGTGAAACTCTCTCTACTAAAAACACAAAAATCAGCTGGGCGTAGCGGTTCACACCTGTAATCCCAGCTACTCAGGAGGCTGAGGCACAAGACTCGCTTGAACCCAGAAGGCAGAGGCTGTAGATCATGCCACTGCACTCCAGCCTGGGCCACAGAGTGAGACTTTGCCTCAAAAAAAAAAAAAAAAAAAAAAAAAAAAAAAAAAAAAAAAAAAAAAAAAAAGAAAAAAAATAGTAATAAATGATATTCATTTAGGGTAGGTGTGGAAACTGGGTATGGCATATGGGGTAGGATTAACTTTTTGATTTTTAAAATGGTAAGATACACAAACATTTATCATTTTTACCACTTTTAAGTGTACAATTCAGTGGCATTAAGTACATTCACTAATTCCAGAACTTATTCATCACCCCAAAAATGAAACTGCCCATTAAGCAGTCATTCCCCATTTCCCCTTCCCCCAAGCTCTGGTAACCACTAATTTACCTTCTGTCTCCGTGGATTTTTCTAGTTTGGATATGTTCCATATGTGGAATCATACAATATGTGATCTTTCATGAATGGTTTTGTTCACTGAGCATGTTTTCTGCTAGTGTACAATGTTTTCCACGTTGTAGCATGTATGTATCAGTACTTCATTGCTTTTTTAAAAATTATTATTGAGACCGAGTTTTGCTCTTGTTACCCGGGCTGGAGTGCAATGGTACAATCTCGGCTCACTGCAACCTCTGCCTCTCGGTTTCAAGCAATTCTCCTGCCTCAGTCTCCCAAGTAGCTAGGGTTACAGGAGCCCACCACCATGCCTGGCTAATTTTTGTATTTTTAGTAGAGATGAGGTTTCACCATAATGGTCAGGCTGGTCTTGAACTCCTGACCTCAGGTGATCCACCTGCCTCGGCCTCCCAAAGTGCCGGGATTACAGGCGTGAGCCACTGTGCCCGCCCCACTTCATTGCTTTTTATGGCCAAATAACTTTCTGCTGTATGGATATACCACCTTTTCTTTATCCATTCATCAGCTAATGGACATTTGGGTTCTTTCCACCTTTTAGCTATTGTGAGTAGTGCTGCTGTGAACATTTCTGTACAAATTTTTGTTTGAACACCTGTTTTCAATTCTTCTGGGTATATACCTAAGAGTGAAATTGCCAGGTTATAGGGTAATCCTACGCTCAATTTATTGAGGAACCAAACTGTTTTCCACAGAGATTGTACTATTTTACATTCTTTACACGGTAATATATAAGGATCCCAATTTCTCCATGTTCTCATCAACACTCGCTGTTTTTCATTTTTTGATGATAGTCATTCTAGTAGAAGTGAAGTGGTATCTCATTGTGGTTTTCCTTCCTTCCTTCCTCCCTCCCTCCCTCCCTCCCTCCCTCCCTTCCTTCCTTCCTTCTTTCTTTTGCTTCGAGACAGGGTCTCACTCTGTCGCCTAGCCTGGAGTGCAGTGGCCCGATCTTGGCTCACTGCAGCTTCTCCTTCCCAGGTTCAAGCGCTTCTTGTGCCTCAGCTTCCCGAGTAGCTGGGGCTACAGGCATGCACCACCACGCCCGGTTAAGTTTTGTATTTTTAGTAAAGATGGGGGTTTCACCATGTTGCCCAGGCTGGTCTTGAACTCCTGATCTTAAGTGATCCACCCACTTCGGTCTCCCAAAGTGCTAGGATTACAGGTGTGAGCCACCACACCCAGATCAGTGTGGGTTTCATTTGCATTTTCCTAATGATTAATAGTGTTGAGCATCTTTTCATATGCTGGGTGGCTGTTTGTCTATCTTCTTTGAAGAAATGTCTTTTTAAGTCTTTTGCTCATTTTAAAAGTTGGGTTGTCTTTTCGTCGTTGAATTGTAAGAGTTCGTTATATATTAAGGATACTCATCTGATATATAATCTGCAAATATTTTCTCCCATTCTGTATGTTGTTTTCACTCTCTTGACATTGTCTTTGATGCACAAAAGTTTAAATGTTTGATGAAGTCTAATGTATCTATTTTTCCTTTTGTTTGTGCTTTTGGTATTACAGGTAAGAATCCATTACCAAGTCCAAGATTATGAAGATTTACCCATATACTTTATTCTATGAGTTTATAGTTTTAGCAGTTATATTTAGGCCTTCGATCCCTTTTCAGTTAACCTTCGTATGTGGTGTGAGGCAGGAGGGTCCAACTTCATTCCTTTGCACGTTGAAAGCACTTTTTTTTTTTTTTGAGACGGAGTCTTGCTCTGTCGCCCAGGCTGGAGTGCAGTGGCCGGATCTCAGCTCACTGCAAGCTCCGCCTCCCGGGTTTACGCCATTCTCCTGCCTCAGCCTCCCGAGTAGCTGGGACTACAGGCGCCCGCCACCTCGCCCGGCTAGTTTTTTGTGTTTTTTAGTAGAGACGGGGTTTCACCGTGTTAGCCAGGATGGTCTCGATCTCCTGACCTCGTGATCCGCCCGTCTCGGCCTCCCAAAGTGCTGGGATTACAGGCTTGAGCCACCGCGCCCGGCCTCTTTTTTTTTTTTTTTTAAGAAAAAGTGGTAGCGTGTGCCATCACATCTGGCTAATTTTTGTATTTTTAGTAGAGATGGGGTTTCACTATGTTAGCCAGGCTGGTCTCGAACTCCTGACCTTGTGATCTGCCCATTTCGGCCTCCCAAAGTGTTGGGATTACAGGCATGAGCCATGAGCCACCGTGCCTGGCCTTAATTTTTTTTTTTTAGATGGAGTTTTGGCTGGGCATGGTGACTCACGCCTGTAATCCCAGCACTTTGGGAGCCTGAGGCGGTTGGATCACTTGAGGTCAGGAGTTTGAGACCAGCCCTGCCAATGTGGTGAAAACCTCTCTCTACTAAAAATAACAAAAACTAGCCGGGTGTGGTGGTGCATGCCTGTAGTCCCAGACACTTGGGAGCCTGAGGCTGGAGAATTGCTTGAACCTCAGAGGCAGAGGTTGCAGTGAGCTGAGATGGCACCACTGCACTCCAGCCTGAGTGAGACTCCATCTCAAAAAAAACAAAACAAAACAAAACAAAATAAGACAGAGTTTCATTCTGTTGCCCAGGCTGCAGTGCAGTGGTGCAATTGCAGCTCACTGCAGCCTCTGCCTCCTGGGATCATGTGATTCTCCTGCCTCAGCCTCCTGAGTAGCTGGGATTACAGGCATACACCACCACACCCGGCTAGGGTTTCACCAAGTTGCCCAGGCTGGTCTTGAACTCCTGACCTCAAGTGATCCACCTGCCTCGGCCTCCCAAAGTGCTGGGATTACAGGCATGAGCCACTGTGCCCGGTCCCAGCCCCATTTTTTGAAGACAGTTTTTCTCATTGAATGGTTTGGCACCCTTATTGGAAATCAATTGGTCACAGAAGCACAGTTTATTTCTGGACTCTTTCAATTCTATTCCATTGATGTATAATATATGTGTATCCTTATGTCATCCTTATGCCAGTACCACACTGTCTTCCCCTTTTTTTTTTAAGAGACAGGGTTTCACTCTGTTGCCCAGGGCAGAGTACAGTGACACGATCATAGCTCGCTACAGCCTCAGACTACTGGGTTAAAGCTGTCTTCCCACCATGGGATTATAGGCATGAGCCACTATGACCAGCCAACGCTGTCTTGATCACTGTAGCTTTGCAGCACGTTTTTTTACAAGATTATTTTGGCTATTTGGGGTTCCATGCAATTCCATATAAATTTTAGGATCAGTTTTTCCATTTCTGCAAAAAAAAGGGCCAATGGGATTTAACTTTTTGACTTATGAAGCATGGTAAACGAATTACCTGCTCATTTAAAAAAATTAACATGTTTTTTAAAATCAGGAATCTGCTTGGCTTTCCAAAAGGTCCCTCGAAGAATTACCCTGCCTCCAGGCTCTTTCTTCAATCTAGATTATCTTTGTGCAAAGTACAGAAAATAGAATTTTTTTTTTTTGCCAACACTGGCCTTCTTTCTCCCCTTATCCCAGACCTGCAGGGAGTTCTTGTGGTCTAATCTTCATTCCTCTTGCCACCATGTCACCCAAGTAGAACTATTCTTCCTTGACACTTTCACACACTCCCTCATCTGTTCCAGCTTTCTTTTCTCTAATTCCCACTCATTGACCCTCTTCTCTTATTTAGAATCCAAGATTGTAAAAGCTGCAAAGTATGTCAGATTATTTATTCAACTCCTCCACTTTGCAGATGTGGAGACTAAAGCCCAGAGAGAAAGTCTGACTTGCCACACAGCCAGTGAGTGACTGCAGCAGTACCAGAATCCGGTCTGTTTTCTGTTTGGTTCTACTACCATACGGCTTGGGATCTCGGTAAATAGAACTGGGTGCAGACTTTAGCGCTTCCAGGCCAGTCCCCAGATCCTTTAGTAGGCCATTTTGCCCACCCTGGTCACATGAAGTCTGCACACAGGAAGGACAGATCTCCTCTGAGGTCCCTATTTTATTTATTTATTTATTTTTGAGACAGATTCTTGCTCTGTCACTCAAGCTGGTGTGCAGTGGTGTGATCTTGACTCAATGCAACCTCTGCCTCCCGGGTTCAAGCGATTCTCTTGCCTCAGCCTCCTGAGTAACTCAGATTACAGGTGCACGCCACCATGCCCAACTAATTTTTGTGTTTTTCGTAGAGATGGGATTTTGCCATGTTGACCAGGTTGGCCTCGAACTCCTGAGCTCTAGTGATCCACCCACCTCGGCCTCCTAAAGTGCTGAGATGACAGGCATGAGCCACCACGTCTGGAGGCCCCTACCTTTGCCTGATACCTGCTCCTTCCCATCAGTTTGAAGAAACTGCTGAATCCACAGGGGAAGTGAAACTATGAGGGGAGATAAAGTGTTGGGGTAGAGTTTTGAGAGTGATAACCACAAGCTAAGTTTAGAGGACTGAGAGCTGAGGGTCCTCCCTGAGGACCCACATGTCCCCCTTTATATCCTATTACAGGGCATGGTGGCTTTGCCAGTGGTCCTTGTTTTGCTGCTGGTCCTGAGCAGAGGTGAGAGTGAGTTGGACGCCAAGACCCCATCCACAGGGGAGGCCACAGAATGGGGGAATCCTCACCTGTCCCTGCTGGGGTCCTGCCAGCCAGCCCCCTCCTGCCAGAAGTGCATCGTCTCACACCCCAGCTGTGCATGGTGCAAGCAACTGGTAAAGATGGGCCTATGGCCTTTGAACCATGTGTATGTGTATGTGTATGTGTATGTGCAGCCTGGATATATGTGTGTGATTGTGTGGGCACATGCATGATTTTCTAGGAACACTCCAGAGTCTCATGTGTGACTGAGTTTGTGCACATAGGACTCCTGTGTGTGGATATATGTGTGTGCATACACATGCATGCAAGTTTCCTGTGCACTTAGGATTATGTCTGCATCCATTTGCTTGTGTATATATGGAGAGAATTTGTGACCATGAATTGGGAGAAAGTATGTACTTGTGGGAATTCATGCTTGTGTATAGGTAGAGGGAGCTGTTGTGTATGTAAACATGTGAGAAAGGTACTAGCCAGTGAGGGCTGCCATAACAAAATACCATAGGCTGGGTGGTTTAAGCAACAGGAATTCATTTCTCCTAATGTTGGAGGCTGGGAAGTCCGAGATCAAAGTGTTGACTGATTTGGTTCCCCAGTTAGGGCTCTCTTCCTGGCTTGCAGACTGGCTACCTTCTCGCTATGTCCTTACATCGTAGGGAGGGGGCTGGAGGATGGAGGGATGGGAACTGCCTCTGTTCTTGTAAGTGCACTAATTCCATCATGAGGGTTCCACCCTTAGGCCCTCATCTAAACCTAGGTACCTCCCAAAGGCTCCATTTCCAAATGCCATCACATGGAGGGTTAGGGCTTCAATATAGAATGGGTTGGGAGTGGGGTGGGGTAGGGGTGCAGAGTTCAGTCCATAGCAGAAAGTGTGTAGTTAGATTTCCAAGTCTGTGTTTTGGGTGGAGGCATTCTGTTCCTGGGTGTGTAGTAGCCTATGACTGGACAGGCAGAAAGGGGAGGGGTGGAAGTATATGGGCTTGAGGGGGACTGGAAAGGCTTAAGCTACCTAAGTGGCCAAGAAGGATGCTAGGGAGCAGGCGTCTCCCTGGTTCTTCAAACAAAGCTGTTGTTTGTTTATGCTTGAAAGAGACAGAGCTCATGGAGCAGCAGAGCAGGAGGGGTGCCCAAGCTGGGACGGGGGCAGGTCTGCCTCTCTCAGGGGAAGATGGAGGGTTAGATCAGTGTGGGAGCCCAGATAAGAGATGAGGGCAAATTCACATGGAAGCAGAGCTACAGATGCTTAGAGGACCCAGGAGAAAGGCACACAGTGACTCTGAAAGGACAAGAAGGGTAGATACTGAGTCTGCACAAGGCAGAGGCAGAGGTGCCAGGCTGGAGCTGGGAAGCTGGAGCTCTTGAGGTAGTCAGGTCTGTGTCTGGCTTCTCCAGTCCCCAGACCAGGAGCTGACACCCAGGGCAAGCTGAGAAGCCGCTCTAACCATTTCCTTCCCCTGTGGCTTCCCATCCAGTCTTAGGGGTACCAGACATATTACGGGGGTAGGACGCCTCCTCTTCTGTTCTTATCCTTTCCCTTCCAAGGAGCTGTGGGTCTTAGTCTGACCACCTTCCCATTTTGGTGTGAGCTTGCTGGGAAGGCTGGCCTAGGAGGCAAGGCCCCCATTTTTTTGTGGTAGTGAAGTCTCTAAGATCTCAACAGGAAGTCTGTGGCTCTATTGGGGAGGAGAGGGGTAGGTGACTGGGGCAAGGGGGAGTTGAGATAAGCAGAGGGGTGGGGGACTACTATAGGAAGTGGGGCTGTGACAAGGAAGAAAGGACCGGAGTTCCACAGGTTCATGCCTGTAATCCCAGCACTTTGGGAGGCTGGGGCAGGAGGATTTCTCGAGCCCAGGAGTTCGAAACCAGCCTGGGCAAAAAAGCAAGACCCTGTCTTTACAGTTGGTAAAAAAAAAAAAAAAAAAAAGAAAGAAAGAAAGAAAGAAAGAAAAAGGGAAGGCGTGGTGGTTCACACCTGTAATCCCAGCACTGTGGGAGGCCGAGGCGGGAGGATCACTTGAGGTCAAGAGTTTGAGACCAGCCTGGCCAATATGGTGAAACCCCGTCTTTACTAAAAATACAAAAAAGCTGGGCGTGGTGGCACAGGCCTACTGGAAGGCACAGCTACTGGAAGGCTGAGGTATGAGAATCACTTGAACCGGGGAGGTGGAGATTGTAGTGAGCAGAGATAGCACCGCTGCGCTCCAGCCCTGGGTGACAGAGTGAGACTCTGTCTCAAAAACAAAACAAAACAACAAAAAAGACCAGAGTTCAAGGGTAGCTGTGGCGAGGAGGAGGAGAGGGAATCAGGGACTCAGGGAATGGACTGGAGGTGGGGGCATTAGAGGGGGCCGAGTTTGCAGGGTGTTTTTGGTAGCGGGGCCTAGGGCCTGTGCAGGACCAGGTCCCGACGCACCTTTTCTTGCTGAGCAGAACTTCACCGCGTCAGGGGAGGCGGAGGCACGGCGCTGCGCCCGACGAGAGGAGCTGCTGGCTCGAGGCTGCCCGCTGGAGGAGCTGGAGGAGCCCCGCGGCCAGCAGGAGGTGCTGCAGGACCAGCCGCTCAGCCAGGGCGCCCGCGGAGAGGGTGCCACTCAGCTGGCGCCGCAGCGGGTCCGGATCACGCTACGGCCTGGTGAGTTAGGGGCGGCGGGGCCAGGCCAGAGGTCTAGGCTGGCGTTCCAATGTGCTCTGCTGACCCGCCCGCCACCCACCCCCCAGGAGAGCCCCAGCAGCTCCAGGTCCGCTTCCTTCGTGCTGAGGGATACCCGGTGGACCTGTACTACCTTATGGACCTGAGCTACTCCATGAAGGACGACCTGGAACGCGTGCGCCAGCTCGGGCACGCTCTGCTGGTCCGGCTGCAGGAAGTCACCCATTCTGTGCGCATTGGTGAGCCGAGGGCTGCCTCTCGCCCTGTTAGCCCTTGCCTGTTCAACCACTGCCTTAGCCTCTGCCAACATCCTGGACTCACAAGGGCCCCAATTTGCCCTCCCAGTTGTTGACAGGCCTAGCCAGGCCACAGGTTCATTCCTCCATCTTTCCCTAAAGACACCCATCTTCTAGGTCAGAGCTGGAGAGGACTCCAGAGACAGTCCGTTTTACAGGTCTAGCTGAGACCCAGCGTCTGGAGACTCTCTGGGCCTGGACAACTGCCCTGAGCCTACCAGCCTGGAACCTGCCCTGATGCAAGTCTCCTTGGACAAGGCCTAGATGCCACTGTCCCTGGCACCACATTCTGTGCCAACTCTCCTCTATTCAAATTTCCTTCCTTTGCCTCATGCTGCTACCACATCCTATACCCGGGCCTTCTTCTGCCTTCTGGAAGTTCCCATTTGCCCTGGGAGTTGTGTCCTCCTCTTAATGTCCTCTATCTGCCACTTCCCTGAGCCAGTGGTCTCACTGCTTTGCTTGTCAGTTACCGGGTCCCTGCCCCTGGGTGCACCCTCTCCCATCACCTCTTCTATGACCGTCCTCCCCACCCCACTTCCCATAGAGCGCTCTCGTGGGTCCTCTGTTGCTGCCCTGCGACTTCTGGCACAGCCTTCATTCCCCTCCTCTCCCAGGTTTTGGTTCCTTTGTGGACAAAACGGTGCTGCCCTTTGTGAGCACAGTGCCCTCCAAGCTGCGCCACCCCTGCCCCACACGGCTGGAGCGCTGCCAGTCACCCTTCAGCTTTCACCATGTGCTGTCCCTAACGGGGGATGCGCAAGCCTTCGAGCGGGAGGTGGGGCGCCAGAGCGTGTCTGGCAATCTGGACTTGCCTGAAGGTGGCTTCGATGCCATTCTGCAGGCTGCACTCTGCCAGGTGAGGAGGTGGGGTGGGGATCTGAGCCTGGAGGTCTGTTTGGGAATGGGACTGCCCCTTATGGTTGTATAGTGCACAATTCTAGGGGGTGCCATTCATACCATAGTAGGTGTAGTTTGTATACTTATTTTAACAATTACCTAGTGGGTTGGAGTAAAATATCTTGAGGAGAGTATCTTGAGGAGAAGGCATGTTTTTCTAATTCACAAGTAAGCCTCCACTAGCAGCAGCCTTCTTTGGGGGACTGGGGAGAGCAGGAGAAAGCAAGGTACTGGAGGCAAGGGGATGGACAAGCTGACTCAGAGTGAGGCTTGCCACATTCTTGGCTCACAGAGCTGGCTGGGGTGGCTCAAGGGCCATGCCCAGGTGCATAGCCTACCACCCCCACTGTACCTCAGGAGCAGATTGGCTGGAGAAATGTGTCCCGGCTGCTGGTGTTCACTTCAGATGACACATTCCATACGGCTGGGGACGGGAAGTTGGGTGGCATTTTCATGCCCAATGATGGGCACTGCCACTTGGACAGCAATGGCCTCTACAGTCGCAGCACAGAGTTTGTGAGTCCCTATAGTCACCCCGCCTCTCCCCATTTGAGCCATACCTCTTTCCTTCCAGGACTCCCACTCCCAGCCTTACAGTCCTCACCAGTAACCACCCTGTACACACCTGCCTTCTTCCCCAGCAGTTCCTCCTTTCAGCTGTGGAGACAGGACAGCTTTGTCACCCCATTCCCTACCTCCTTCCTATTCCATAGCAAGCCTCCAGGGCTCCTCCAGCTGGTGGAACCTTGGTTCCTGGATTCCCCAGGCTGAGGGCACCTTGCATGTTGTGGGGGAGACCTGTGGGGCTCACCTTGTCCCTGCTCCCTGCCCCAGGACTACCCCTCTGTGGGTCAGGTAGCCCAGGCCCTCTCTGCAGCAAACATCCAGCCCATCTTTGCTGTCACCAGTGCTGCACTGCCTGTCTACCAGGTGAGAGCTGTCTACATGTCAGATCCCCAGCCCCACCCCAGCCTTTCTCAATTCCCCCAAAGATCCATTCTCTGTCCCCCATATGCCCTCCTTCCAGACCCCCAGGAGCCCATTTTCCTAGAGCTGTGACCTACCATTTCCCTTAACTCCCCATAACTCAGGAGCTGAGTAAGCTGATTCCTAAGTCTGCAGTTGGGGAGCTGAGTGAGGACTCCAGCAATGTGGTACAGCTCATCATGGATGCTTATAATGTGAGGGGCCAAACGAGGGGGAGATGGTGAGGGTGGGCACTAGGGAAAGGTGGAAAGGGGCCCTTGGGTGGGGTGGCAGAACTAAGGGGAAATGGTCACTTTTTGGTCTAACATTCCACAGCTCCTACCTGTAATCTGCATGTGGCTGTCATTAATTGTTCAATCTTACATTCATAAATCTTAAACATCTGACGTGCAGAGAGCATGGAGCTCAGATCCCCGCCCCACCTCCTCACCTGGCAGAGTGCAGCCTGCCAGGAAAGTTTCAGTCACTGAGCTTTTATTTCACGCACCCACCATCCTAGGTGTACGTACTGTTTCTACTTCATTTAACCCCGCCAAAAGCCTTGCTTCGTAACTGTTATCATCCCTCTTTTACAGAGGAGGAAACCCACACAAGGCTAAGTGACTTGTCCAAGGTCACAAAGATAACAAACAGAAGGGCTGGCATTTTTCCCCAGTCTGTACATAAACAATGTGAGATCTGGAGCCTGCTTTCACTATATTTATAAATAATTCAGAGCTATTTTTCACAAGAACCATAGAATTTTACAGGTAGAAGGAACCATAAAACTCTTAGTGGTTTAGGTCTTATCTCTGCAAGTAGGCTGTAGGCTTCCTGATAACGGAGCATCTCCTAAACCTATGGCAAAAAAATCTGAGACGGTATCAAATTTCCCAAGACAAACTCTGTAATGAATTTGCCCTTTAGACCTGGCATGCACCCAGGTTATGTGTCCTGATGTGGGGCTTCACAAACATGGTCTCTGCACTGAAATGCTGTATTAGAGGCCTCTGGATCCTGTATATTCTATGCAAGGTTCTCATGGGTCCTCCCTCCAGAAATGCCTCGACTGGTCAGAATGTAAGGAGCCCCAGGTGGCAGAGGGCAGGGTGCTGGCAGAACTGGGAACACCTGGAGAGGACATAAGGTGGGGGTGGGGTCCTTTCCTGCCTTCACGTGGTTATCCACTTGCTCTCTTCCCATAGAGCCTGTCTTCCACTGTGACCCTTGAACACTCTTCACTCCCTCCTGGGGTTCACATTTCTTACGAATCCCAGTGTGAGGGTCCTGAGAAGACGGAGGGTAAGGCTGAGGATCGAGGACAGTGCAACCATGTCCGAATCAACCAGACGGTGAGAGCCAGCAAGCACAGGCAGAAGGCGGGCGGGCAGGGGGAGGTGGGAGTGGGAAATTAAGCAGGCAGGGAAAGATGGGGGGCAGGAATGGGGAGTGATGGGAGAGCCTGGGGTAATCCTCCATCCATCCTTCCTGAAGTAGTCTGAGTGGCTTCCTCAGGTAAAGTTTCTAGGAGTTGGGTGTTACCATGACCCCATCTCTTCATTTACTAAGGGGTGAGGTTCTGGGTGAGTTTGGTGTGTGTGTGTTTGTATAACCATGGCCTGATTCCTGCCTACCCTGTTCTTAGGTGACTTTCTGGGTTTCCCTCCAAGCCACCCACTGCCTCCCAGAGCCCCATCTCCTGAGGCTCCGGGCCCTTGGCTTCTCAGAGGAGCTGACTGTGGAGTTGCACACGCTGTGTGACTGTAACTGCAGTGACACCCAGGCCCAGGCTCCCCACTGCAGTGATGGCCAGGGACACCTACAATGTGGGGTATGCAGGTGAGGGCCTCCTCTCCCTTCACCCAGCTGGCTGACAACAAACGACCAACCCTGGCCCGTATTCCTCCGCTGCTTTCCATTCCCCCCACAGGAGTATCCTTGACATCCCTAGACTCCCCACTCGATTTCATCCCTTGAAGCTTCCCGATATGTTCAGGCCCTCCCCTTGACTGCGGCTCCCTCCACTCTCTCACCCCTCGTCGGTGTTCCACTATACTTATTCCTTCAGTTGTCTTTCTCCAACTCTTGAGAACTTGGGTTTGGAGGTTCCTGGGAGAGACAAGTCAGGGGTGATCAAACCCTCTGACCTACTTCCCTCCTTTGCCTTCCCCTCCCAGCTGTGCCCCCGGCCGCCTAGGCCGGCTCTGTGAGTGCTCTGAGGCTGAGCTGTCCTCCTTAGATCTGGAATCTGGGTGCCGGGCTCCCAATGGCACAGGGCCCCTATGCAGCGGAAAGGGTCAGTGCCAATGTGGACACTGCAGCTGCAATGGACAGAGCTCTGGACATCTGTGCGAGTGTGACGATGCCAGCTGTGAGCGACATGAGGGCATCCTCTGTGGAGGTACCTTGGGGAGAAGGGCAGGGTCTGAGAGGCCTTCCCAAGGCACTTAGGCTCTGGGAGTCTCCTGGCATGGAAGGCAAATGTCAAAGATTCTGGTGTATGGGTTAGAGAGTGTGTTTGGCATACTTGAAAAAGACTGGATGCATGCACTTGTGGTGCCATGTGATGGCCAACTGTGTGTGTGGAGTATGGTTGTCACCCTCTGCATGGCTCTACCCCAGGATTTGGTCGCTGCCAATGTGGAGTATGTCACTGTCATGCCAACCGCACGGGCAGAGCATGTGAATGCAGTGGGGACATGGACAGTTGCATCAGTCCCGAGGGAGGGCTCTGCAGTGGGCATGGACGCTGCAAATGCAACCGCTGCCAGTGCTCGGATGGCTACTACGGTGCTCTATGCGACCAATGCCCAGGCTGCAAGACACCATGCGAGAGACACCGGTGAGGCCTCAGGTCTTGCATCTTGGGAGCAGGGGCACAGTGGGGCTTGTTGAGCCACTCCCATCTGCCTACTCTCCTTCCTGCTTGTAGTTGGGTAAAGGGCATTGGGTGACAACTACCCAGCTGGTAACTTATTGGCATCTACTGCATAGGGACTGTGCAGAGTGTGGGGCCTTTGGGACTGGCCTCCTGGCCACCAATTGCAGTACAGCTTGTGCCCATACCAATGTGACCCTGGTCTTGGCCCCTATCTTGGATGATGGCTGGTGCAAAGAGAGGACCCTGGACAACCACTTGTTCTTCTTCTTGGTGGAGGATGATGCCAGAGGCAGGGTCGTGCTCAGAGTGAGACCCCAAGAAAGTAAGTGGTCAGGGATGCCACAAACCCTGGAAGTTTGATGGGCAGGGTCTCAACTCTGGGGATGCAGAGTGAAGATAATGGGAAACAGGCTGGGGGCTGAGGCAGAACTGTGAATCCAGAACAAAGGCAGAGGCGACTGAGCAAGTGGACAAGGCTAAGGCCCTGGGCAGTGAGAATAACCCTGGACCTTGCTGGGTTCCCTTTGCTTTCAGTGACAGGGTTGGACAGGCTGGACACACTGTGAACAACTGTTGATCTGTCCCTGTGCTCCAGCTCCCACAAGTGTGTCTGGTTTCTTGTTCACAGAGGGAACAGACCACACCCAGGCCATTGTGCTGGGCTGCGTAGGGGGCATCGTGGCAGTGGGGCTGGGGCTGGTCCTGGCTTACAGGCTCTCGGTGGAAATCTATGACCGCCGGGAATACAGTCGCTTTGAGAAGGAGCGGCAACAACTCAACTGGAAGCAGGTGAAACTTCCTGGTTAGGCCCCCTTTTAGCTGTCTCCCCACCACAAGCCCATCCCTGATTCCTCCCACTGGGTTCCCCCAGCCCCTGGCACATGTAACCAATCCCTCTGCTAACTTCCATCAGCTCCTAGGATTCGGCTCAAGACTGGCCTCTTAGGTCTAGAAAGGGGACAAGGAATCCTGGGATTTTTGCTCATAATCTGCAACATCTTTCCTCAGGACAGTAATCCTCTCTACAAAAGTGCCATCACGACCACCATCAATCCTCGCTTTCAAGAGGCAGACAGTCCCACTCTCTGAAGGAGGGAGGGACACTCACCCAAGGCTCCTCTCCTTGGAGGACAGTGGGAACTGAAGGGTGAAAGGAAGGGTGGGTCTGTAAGACCTTGGTAGGGGACTAATTCACTGACGAGGAGCGGCCACCACCCTACTTCATTTTCAGAGTGACACCCAAGAGGGCTGCTTCCCATGCCTGCAACCTTGCATCCACCTGGGCTATCCCACCCAAGTATATAATAAAGAGTCTTACCTCAGACCACAGCTGTCACTTTTCTTTACCTCATCAAGGCCAAAGCAGGCTGTTTATAGCCTGGCCTCGGGAAAGTTCTTGTCCATCTTCCTCCTGCCACCTGAGGGCAGGGAGAGGGGCCCAAGCGCGAATGTGCAGGAGAATCCTGAGGTGCGCCCTGGGACCCCGGAAGCCAGGTCTGGAAAGGGCCTCTGCGGATGCAGGTGGGTCCCAGACCAGAGACACTGCATCTGTTGGTGTTTAACCCCCTTCCATTCTGCTGCGTGTGCTTTTTTTCCTCTTGCTCAGAACTGATGCCGTTTTTGCTCCTACTTGTTTGCTCCTCTGTGGAGAAGGGGTTTTAAAATGGCTTATAGGGTGCTGGAAGTTGTGGGGTGATTATACAGGGAGAAAAAAGGAAGGAAAACAACTAAAACCAGTATGAAAAAGCTTCCCCAAAGAGGAGATAGTAGAAAAGCCCCATTTTCCTTTTATTTAAATATCCTAAATATATCACGAAGGAACATACACTGCACTTTAATGGTAAAAAGATACAAGTTTATAACATCTTATAAAAACTACCATTTAAAAGTGATCTTGTCCATTTGATATTCCCCTCCCCCATAGCAAAATAAGTATATTATTAAAAAAAAAAAAAAAAGAAGGTGGAGAGGAGGATAGGAAGGGGACAGTTGATAAAACCCCAGGGCCGCAGCAGAGGCAAAGGGCATCTGGGGAGAGGGTTAGAAGCTGTGGCAGACTCCACTAATGTAACCCTCCAATGTCAAGCCATGGGCGCGATCAGTAGCTAAGTGATGACGAGGCTGTTGGGGGTGGACGGAAAAGACTTGGGGCAAAGCAGACTCTTTATAGCCTGGGCTGGTAGGGCCTGGTGCAGCAGCCTACCCGGAACTGGCACTACTCTTTCCCAGGTTCCCTGACTCTCCGTCCTGGTCTCTGAGAGCCTGCCCTATTTCCGTCTCCCCTACTCCAAACACACCTGAGGCATCTTCCAGTGCTAGGCCCCATGCTGGCCAGCAGGGGTGAGGCATTGGGCCCAGGAGCCTCCGCAGCGGTCTGAGTCAGTGGCTTCCCTGGGGTATCTGTGGGACTCCCGGGCCCTCTGATGTGGAATAACTCCTTTCACTGCTTTGCTTCTCTCTTCTCACACATCCATTACCCCAGATATCGGCGTGGGAACTGAACCAACCACCTGCTCCTGAGTTTCCCTCACTGGGTCCCTGGCAGGGGTGGCTCTGCTATGGCTGTTCGCACATACTCTCTGAAGTTCCCTCGCTCCCACCCATCCAGGCAGGAAACCAAGGTCTGTGGGAACCCAGGGCACCTTCTGACCCAGTACACACATTAGTACACATAGGGGCATAGATCACTCATGTGAGTCTCTCCACATACACCCCTATCCCAAACAGATTAGCTGTAAGTGGCAGGGAGAAAGGCCTCTCATTTTCAAAAGCATTTTTGGGAGGATAGTTTTCTAAACATTTTAAAATGGTTTACAGGGTGCTGGAAGATGTGGGGTGAATCATCCCAGAAGAGAAGGACGAAAACCTCAGCTCCAGCAGAACCCTTGAACAGGAAGGGGGCTGGCTCACATGCAGAAAGATGCCCCTGCTTGCAGGGACCACAGGGCTGATCCAAGCACTGAGGTCTAAGTTCTGGACCACATCAAATGGGAGTGTCAGCATAAAGCAATGAGTACACGGCAGCACACACTCCTCAGCGTCTCCCCAAAAGGATCTCAGATGCTGTCAGGGAAAATCGAATGGGTGCCATGCCTGCTTTTTCCGTGAAATACTCATACCACAGAGGTATGGACAACCCCCTCCCCAACCCCACCCCTCCAGAATAGGTAACAGCCAGGAATCATCCCATTCTTTACGTTTTCTGGGAAAAAAAGACCCTACTGACAGCTTGGTACTCAGGTTCACCCAGTCTCCATGATTACTAAGATAGTTCCCTTACCCGCCACAGGGCAGGTCAGGTTACAGTGGGGGTCAACCAAACCCCAGAACTTCCCATAAGGATTCTTTCTTTAGCAGAAAGAAAAGGTTTATTTCACCTTAGAAAATTCATGTTCACAAGCCCTGGCTTGGGTTAGAAACACCCTAACCACTAGGCTGTTGAATTTAATCTAAAAAAAAACAAAAAAACAAAAAAAAAACCCCCTCCGAAACAAAAGCCCTTCTGTTCCCTAAATTGTGTTCTTCAGCTCCTGCTGAGACCTCAAGCACCCTTCATGTTTGGGCAAGAGGAGGCTATTTTCCACTCATCCTCCCCGAAGGTGAGGGCCAGAGAAGTGTTTGGCTCATTACTATGCCATCTCTTGCAAGCATACAAATACATGCACTCATATCTCACACACACACATCCACACACACACCCCTGATTACTTTTTTGGGAGTGGACAAGGTGGTGGTATTGGAGCAGAGAGGAGCAAAGAATATGGTTAAGAATGGAACCTACATTAGGTTTCTTCTTTAGTCTTTTCTCTGCAGCACCCCCACCCCCATCCCCCACACTCTGTTGGGTAGGGATGGCCATTAGGAAGGAAGCTGAGATCTTGTTTTTTTGGGACCAAAGGACAGACCCCTCCCAACCTCCTCTACCTGAATACAGTGATAGGACTTGGGGAGGGAGAACAGCTCCTACTGCTCAACAGGCATGTCAGAAGACCCCAGATTCCTTTGTTTCTTGAGCAGCTGTTAGCCAACTTGGGACCAGTCTTGGGTTGTTCCTAAGAGGGCACAAGGAGAGAGAACCCACTTTGACATCCATGACTCCTTGTTCAACACATGTCTCACTTTAGGAGTCAATGGCAGCGAGGTAGCCACAAACCATCTCCAAGACCGACTCCCTAAGAAAAGAAGAAAAGGGCTTCACGGGCCACTCTCACCCAAGTTTCCTCCTAAAGGCACTTGAGCTGATGCCATCAGGTGCCAATGTGACATGGGCCATGACAACACCCACAGGCACAACTCTTCCTTTTTCCTTGAGGAAGGAAGAGGTGCCATCCACTTTTTGGATCCAGTCCTCGTCTGCTCCACCCCGTTTTTCCTTTTATCCCTACAGTGTATAAGGAAGCCAAAGTAAGCTCAGCTGCCATTCCTGATCTTATTCTTCCTCAAAAAGGAGGTGAAGTGCAGGACTGTGAAACACTGAGGAGCTGCTACAACTAAAAACCCAATTTTTGGGGAGAGCTGGACCAGCTATAGTCCCTACTTTGGACCAGGACGCTTATACCTCTGGATTACCTGTGTCCACAGTGTACCTGCTGAAGTTGCTTTTGGATAAACAAAAACAAGAACAGAACAAACAAATCCCCTTCCCCAATCTTTTCCATTTCAGCTGCCAGCTGGAGTCCAAGGTTGTGGGAGCCACACTTCAGTCTTGGTCCTGTACCTTGAGTCCCCACCTATGACCTCAGCCAAGGGTCCAGGGACTAGCTCCCCTACCCAGGAATGCTGTAAGAACTTCCCCGAGATACTCATAGTCTCAGATTATTTACAGAGCTGAGGTTCTGGGGCCACTGTCCCCTGATGCATTCTTCTGGTCTCCTGGGTCCACTCCTCCAGGAGTGGGACAGGTTCACATGGGGCGTTGGTGGGACCATCAGACCAGAGGGGGTGTGCTCTTCGGCAGGTTCTTCTGATCACTCCCACCACCCGGGGGCCCCTTGCGCCTATAGAGAAAACTGCCCGTCGGAAGTCTTGGACTGGCACCCTTGGCACATCCGTTTGTGTCTGAGTAATCGATCTGTCCGAGAAAAACACTGAGAAGAAAGGGAGGGTTAAGTGCCTGAGGGGGAAACTCAGCTACCTGTTGGCTACCTCATTCCTCTCACAGGAGGCAGATACCACATTCTCCATCCCCTCAGCATGCGCGCAGACAGCAAGAGCACACGGTGGTGGAGAATGCAAGCTCTCGGGCCAGAGCGCCTGGGGCTGAATCTTGGCTCTATCGCTCAGCAGCTGTGTGACCTTGGGCAGGTTACCTAACAGCCCAGAATCTGTACACTCATCTACAAAACTGTAAAGCGAGGCTAAAAGTACCTACTCACAGCACAGCTGCTTTAGTCATCAAAGATTTATTGAGTATCTATCTCAAGGCAGATACAGAGTAGAGAACCAGAGGAACGAAGTCTCTGCCCTCATACAGCTTTTATTCTAGTGTCTGAAGATTCAATGTAAGAGTGCGGAGCAAAGCTTGGGACCTAGCAATGCATCCAGGAAGTGTTAGCTATTATCATTTCTCATCTCTTGTTCTTGTCTTGTTTTGGCCCCAGCTCTTACATTCTCATCAGATCAGATACCGACCCCCAGGGCAAAGATTGTATCTCTTCCTCCAAAGTGCATGAGCTCTGCAGTTGGACTGAATCCCAGCTCTGTTCGTGATCTGCTGTGTCCTTGGGAAACTTAACTTCTCTGAATCTCAATTTTCCCATATGTGAAATAAGGACAATACAGCTACCTTAGGGAGTCAATGTGAAGATTAAATAAAATCATCTGTGTAAAGTATGCTCTCATAGTGCCTGGCACAGAGTAAGTGATCATGAAATGCTATTATTATTATTATTATTATTATTATTATTATTACAATGTTCTAACTGCTCCTCCCCATGATCAGCTGCATAAGGCCAGACAGATGCACCTCACCCTGATGTGCCAACTATTATATGGCGAGCAATGCTGGTGGCTCTTTTGTCAGGCAGGAGGGGAGGGTGGCCCTGATTCTTGGGGAAGGAAAAGTGTGTGGGGGATTGCAGCAGGGATGAGCCTTACCTGATGACACCGTTCACACTGGTAAGGCTTTTCACCACTGTGCACACGCTTGTGGCGTTCCAGGTGGTACTTCTGGATGAAACGCATATCACATATATCGCACTCAAATGGCTTCTCACCTGGCCCAAGTGGAGAGAGAAGTGAATGTGGGGAGGTATGTATGGTAGGGACCTCATTCCAGTTATTTTCTCAGAAACTTTAGCTATTAGTAATATGTAGACACCTAAG